TTTGGCCTCTGAGGGCAAGGTTTCTCCTCACAGATGGTCAGCACGTGACACTTCCTTGCTGAAGACTTCCATGGCCTCAGAAAGTGTGTTGCTCTATAGGCACTCCAGGAGGAAAGGTGCTGATGGAAGTATTTTTACATTAAGCCACCAACCAGTGCAAATAACTCTAAGAAGTATAAAGTGAGAGCTGAGCACACACCCCATTGGGGGAGGGATAGCAACAACCAAAAGAAGTTCCTAATTTTAGAAAAGCTATTTTCTATTTTGCTTGCATAACTTGGTTGAAAAAAGAAAGCTTTATTTCTTTCTTTCTTTCTTTCTTTTTTTTTTTTTTTTAAGTTTTCTGGATTGAGTATACCATCTGGAGACTAGGACTGTGAGACTCAAAATTGGTGAATGTGATTCAACCAAATGAACCTATAAGTAAGTAAAAAAAATTAGGGCAAAAGACACCCAGAAATTCTGAAATATGTGATTGGTGGGCTACATACAAGTCAACTCCACAATAGTAATATTTCTTTTTCCAGGTGAATTTGAAAATTGTCCCGGACACTGTTGTGTGAAGGTGGACAGTTTGGAAGACCGCACGGGGTCAGGCTGGGACAAGGAAAGAAGGTCATTTTTGGTAGTACCTCACTGTCTTCTCTATTTCTTTCCATAATGCCAGAGATTGTACTTGATCACCTGTTTTTGAAACATTATCAGGTGTTTATTAAATTAAAATTCAAAAATAACTATTACTAAGCTATACATTATTATATCAACTAGTGATATCCACTAGTAATTGATGTTATTATAAATGAAGTGCATTGTGTACAAATAATGCAGAATTGGAAGCTGGGAGAAAGTGGAGGGAACATGAAGAAAGGATGCAAGACTTGTAAGAGAAGGCAATTGGCCTTGAGCCTAGCCAATTAAAGAAAAATAATAAAACATATACTCTATTCATTGGCTTCAGTCTGATGATCTGACTTTCTTTCCCGTCATTCATCTCAAGTGTACTATATCCCCTCTAAGTCCTGAGTACACAGCCTGGGCTGAATTCCTGGCTCCACCAATTCCAAGGGCCCTCACCTGTCAGCACCTCAGTTTCCTCATCTGTAAAATGGAAATAATTACAGTACCTTTCTCACGTAGTAAATATTCAGTTACTGGCAGCTTGTTTTATGTTTACTTTCTTAAATAAATCACAGTGAGAAAAATGCCTGACAAAACAACCAGCTGTGGATCTGTTTATTCGACAGCCATCAAGAAACTCAACGTCAGATGTCTGTTCAAATGTCCATAAAACTGTTCCCAAAAAAGCCTCTGTATGTCATAACTGTGGAGTGTGTGCCCAATTAAAAGTGAGGCAGAAGTTTCAAAGCCTCAAAGATTTTATTTTATTATATTATATTATACTGTACTGGTGGCCCGGTGCACGGAAATTAATTAGAAGTAAGATTTGTGCGGTAATTACGTTACTGCAAAAAATTACATGTCAAAATAGTGTATATAATATAGTATTATAAAATTAAAACACACATGCGATTGGCATCAGCAAGAGCTTCATATGTATTGTGCATGTGTGAGCCATTGTTTATTTTTCAATTGCCAGCTGGTTGGTTGGTCAGACGGTTGGACGGACAGGCGGTCAGTCACTTAGCCTTTTATATATAGATTACATGTAAATATGGTTATAGGTTCCCATAGTTCTCATTATCTTCTGCAGATTTTTCAAGTACTTAGACTGTATGATGACATAGTGGTTGTAATATATGATTATGATTAATTGACTTAATATTGCCTTTGGGTTCATACCTAGGAAGAGTTAACTGTCAAATCCAGTATAATGTTATTTCTGTGGGAACATCAAATGTCTTAAATCATTTGGTCACAGGGTCAACGTACAGGAGCAGAAAATGGCCATGAGGAAGCCTACTGATTCTGTCCAGGTTTGGGTTAAAGAAAGGCCGGGGAAGAGAAGGCGTGCCCAGCTAAGCAGCACACAGAATTGTCTTCAATTTAGCATGGGGCTGGAACGAAAGGAAATGTTTCAAAGGTCTCCGAATATTCTTCCAGAAACAACATATAGAGTTTGGCAGAGACCAAATCCATTAAAAAAAAAAAAAAAAAAAAAAAAGTACTGCTCTTAAATCTGAGATAATAACAAAAGCAGGGATCTTTGCTGGCTTACACCCACATGTATCATTATGGCATTGTAACCCACGCACGAGTGAGTAGGAAATAGCTAAACACAAAGGGATCCAGCAGAGAAACCCGATATTGTGATTTTTACTGACCTCTGCAATGTGGGGAAATTTTTCACGTGTCACTCAGCCTGGAAGTGATTATTTTTCCACCCAAATCCAGATGATCTGAACCCCTCTGAGTGCCCCGAACAGGAGAGACCATCCCAGGTAGAAAGCAGCTGCCCCAGGCCCTGTTCTGTGTGTCTACTGGAGGGGCGTGAGCTTTCTTAACTGTGAGCCCCTGCAAGCCTGGAGCAGTAAATTAGGAAGGGCAGCTGCGAAAGCTATAGAAATCCACCAGATAAAGGTTTATGCCTAAAATCCGAGTTCCAGCGTTGCAGCGAGAGACACAGCGAAGTCTCTGAGGTTAGACTGAGGACGTGCCCTTTTGACTGGGACTGCGGGTAAGGACGGCGGAGGGTGTGATAGAAGTCCATTAATAACAGAACCAGAAGATGAACAGGACGTAGACCGAGACTTTTTTTTAACTTACATCACACCAAGAAATTTATCCGCTCCTCTCATACAGTATTTGTAATTAGAAGCTTGTTTGCATGGAGAGAGAGAGAGAGAGAGAGAGAGAGAGAGAGAGAGAGAGAGAGAGAGAGAGAGAGAGAATTTATCAGCTCAAACGTCAAGTCACGCCAAGTCTGACTGATGGGAGGTAGCTGGGCACCGGGTGGGTGAGGAACCCTGGTCTGAGGCTGGACTGGATGCTGAGGTAAAGTGTGTAGGGTATGGAGAAGAGTAGCAGCCTTACATCAGAAAATTATAATATATCGATTCTTTGCTAATATGTATTATCATTCTCAGTTAATCTTTTTGCTCTCATTATAAAGCTCTAAGTCCAAGGAACCCTCAAGGTTCACCATTGTTACCCAAAGGGCCTGGCTGGATGGTTCAGTTGATTAGAGAATCATCATTATACACCAATGTTTGGGTTTGATCCCCGGGCAGGGCACATACAAGAATGCATAAAATAAGTGGAACAACAAAATTCAAAATGCCAGGACCAAGAAAGTGCAGAGATGAGAAGCAACAGCCCTTACAGCTTGTGTCAAACCAGATCAGCTCCTGAGTGTGCCACAAGTTGGCAGAGAAAATGATCGTATGGCTCGCACTCAATCCCATGGGGGCCAAGGGGCCAGGGCTGCCAAGCAGAGAGTGACTCAGAGCCACCGGTGAAATCGAACGGGGTAAACGCTGGAAGGAGAAATCGTGGCCGATGTCTCTGGTGGGCTCCCAGCTCACTTCAAAGACCAGCATGCTTGAATGCACGCCATTTGAGCAGACCAATGTGTTCCTAAGTAAAAGATGAAAAAGGAAGAGACGCTATACGCACTCAAGACAGACAGACAGACTGAGGGCTGTGCTCCAGAGCAAGGTGCTGGCCACAGGGTAGCCACACGGCAATGACCTTCTGGACTCTTCCAACCAGCTGCCTTGCCTAGGGGTCATACTCTCCTTGCTGGTGGCCAGTTCTGATATTTAATTAAATTTGGGATCTTCATCTTTAGTGCCTACGTGTAACAGGACACAGCTGAAAACCTGGGCATTCATTTCATCTCACTGGCACTAAGTAACAACCGCAGTACTGATAGTCAACAGCTCAGTGCTAGGAGCTGAGATTTGGATGTCAACCCCATGCGATGCATCATGCTTAGTGCTTTCCTCGTATTCTCATATTTAATACTCATAGCATAACAATAATAACAACAGCAAACACATAGAGCACACTGTTCCCAGCACTTGGCAGATATCAACTTGTTTAATGTGTACAACAGCCCAATAAGGTAAAATAAGATTCATAATGAAGCTGAAGCCCGGAGAGAGGTTAAGGAACTTGCCTAAGGCCACTCTCAGTGAGTAGGTGGCAGAACTAGAAGAGGAATTCAGAGATTTTATGGATCAGGCTCTCTAAGCCCTGCCATGAGGAGAGGAGGGGGCAGAGATGCAGAGCGGTAAACTCCCCAGTCCAAGGTCTGATGCCAGACCTACCTCAGGGTCAGGATTTGAACCCTGATAGAGACTGAGCTCCCAATCACTCCCCTGTAAGGCTATACAGTTTGGGCCAGAAAAGGGCTTTTCCTTTTGTTAAACGTGACTGTCTGAGGCTGTACTCTATTGCCTTAAGGCTTAAGGAAATCCAGTCATTGCCTAATGAATACAGTGCATGTTCCCTTTTCAGATAATGCAAAGGCCTGCCTGGAAAAAAAAGAAGTCAGAATGCTTAAATTTTAGTTCTAAAATCACGTGTGCTGTCTTCCTCCACAGAGGAGACTGTGGGCTCCTCCCTGCATTTCAATCACCAGGAGGAATAGACGAGGTTCCTAAGATCCCTCTGGAATTTTGATCTGAAGGCACTAGCCACACAGTGGGTTTCAGAGATCTGGGACTCATCTGTTCGCTGTCCATCCAGCCCAGCCTGCCTTGACACCACCCACTCATAACGGAGTGCTGGAAGGGGGGGGGGGGGTGTGGATACTGCAGCGTGCATGTGAATCTGAAGCGTCCCCAAGCCAAACCCCAGTGCGTTTGTGTTAGCCACAGCTTCATTCTCTTCACACCTCTCCTCTCACCGTGTAGGGGCCTAAACGGGAAGGGTGGTAGCGAGTGCATTTCTTCACACATTTACTTTTCTGAGAAACTCAAATGCCATTCTTTCTCCATCACAGACCAAGATCATGCTGGTTCCTATGGAAGCAAACTCTGGAAGCATTCCAATCAGGCAAGAGCATGCTTTGAAGAACAGAGCTTTAAGAGCAGTACCTTGATGTGAAAGCCACTCTCGAGCCTCGTTTTGTTGATAAAATCATAGGCCGATACTCCCCAGCCAACTTCACCAACATGCACGTGCTTGTATTGGGCTGGGCAGCTGCAGTGTGAGGCAGGCCTCCATAGGTAGCCGACGTCTCCAGATCTCTCTAATGCCGGACGCAATTCTCCTATGTACGGGAAGTGCTGCTGAACTCTAGGTAGATAATCCTTTTTATAATCTGGGCCTTAAAAAAAGAGATAGAGAGAGAAATACTTAAAAAAAAAAAAAACTCCACACTTTATTCGAAGATGCTTTTGTTATCTTATTTTAAAATATTTTTATGGATTTTTTTTTTTTTTTTTTTTTTTTACAGAGAGAAAGGGAGAGGGGTAGAGAGTTATAAACATTGATGAGGGAGAAACGCCAACCAGCTGCCTCCTGCGCACTCCCAACTGGGGATGTGCCCGCAACCAAGGTTCGTGCCCTTGACCGGAATCAAACCAGAGACCTTTCACTCTGCAGACCGACACTCTATCCACTGAGCCAAACCAGTTACGGCGGCTTTTGTTATCATAAATGGTAGAAATAATAATAGCTAATAACTTTACTATGTTCTAGGTGTTATTATAGGCCATTATGCGTGTTAATTCAATTAATCCTTATAATAACCAAATGAAGCAGGTGCTATATTTTCCCCATGTGGTAGGTGGGGAAACGAGGCACAGAAAGATGGGTTATTTGTCCAGTGTCACAGCTAACCAGCTCTGCATTCCCTTTCATTGCCCCACTAAATGACTTTGTTTATAATCAACTTTATACAGGCACATTTTATACATTAAAAAACCTCATATGTGGGTGTTGTATCGAGATAGATAAAACCTGAAATAAAAATTAGAAAATCCCCCAAATATATCAGAAGCAATTGGAAAGTGGAGAAGACTGTCAGGTGAAAAGGACCACTTATGACAGGTGATGATCCAAGGCAGGGGTAGTTAATAAATATTGGTATTTTATTTTTTTAAATTCATTTTTTAAAATATATTTTATTGATTTTTTACAGAGAGGAAGGGAGAGAGATAGAGAGCTAGAAACGTCGATGAGAAACATCGACCAGTTGCCTCTTGCACACCCCCTACCGGGGATGTGCCCGCAACCAATGTACATGCCCTTGACCGGAATCGAACCTGGGACCTTTCAGTCCACAGACCGATGCTCTACCACTGAGCCAAACCGGTTTCAGCTTTTTTAAATGCATTTTTATTGATTTTAGAGAGGAATAGGAGAAAGAGAGAGAGAAGAAAGCATCAATGTTAAAAAAGAATCGTTGATCAGCTGCCTCCTGCACTTTCCCTACTGGGGATCAAGCCTGCAACAAGGGCACGTGCCCTGACCAGGAATCAAACTGTAACCTCCTAATTCATAGGTCAATGCTAAACCACTGAACCATGCTGGCCAGGCTAAATATTGGTATTTTAAATGTAAGAATGAATAAGAAGCAATTGATGAATTGTGAAAGTGGATGAAATGAGAGAGAGAGAGAGAGAGAGAGAGAGAGAGAGAGAGAGAGAGAGAGAGAGAGAGAGAGAGGGTATGGGGCAATATCGCTGAAATAAACTTGGTTGTGAAAGCTGATGTGAAAATACAAAGAGGAGCTAAAGCTTTGGGGAAGAATGGTACTGACTGCAAATAGACAATGCGATGCTGGCCCCAGGAGAGTTTCAGGGGCCCCAGGACCAAAACGTGTGCAGGATTGTACGTGCAGAGCTGGGGCTCAAAGGAGGAACTTCATTGCAAAGACCTCACGGGCAGAGCTTCTGTGGTCACACTGCGTGTCACCTGGACCCCTGCCGGCCCTGTGGCTTCCTTCACTTTGCTCTTGGATCAGCCAGCTGGGTGTTTGCACAGCACAGGTATTCCGATGAAATGGTCCATGTCACAACAAACCTGTGTTTGGAAGAGTAATCTAAGCTTTCTAAGGAAGCTGAAAACATTCTTCAGACACACGATTTTGGCAGATGTTTTCACAGCTTCCTAATCTTCTTTGCTCCCCATGACGCATTGGGTATTTACTGTGGCTAATTCCCCTGGATGAATACATTGTGGCTTCCATTTTATTGGCTGCAGGCTTGCACTTTGGTGTAGCTGCTTTGGTAAAGTATAGAATGGCCAGAGCATGGAAGTCTGTCTTCTCTCTCAATACGACAGGTCTTGAGGTCTCACCTACAAGACTCCTGTCATAGGGAATTTTTGCAATCTCTTCTAAATAGTGTGAAGTATAGAAAAACTGTGTCTGTTTTGCTGGATTTCAGTGTATGCTTTAGGCCAGTATTTTTCCGAATGTTTCATCAAACAATGCTCCAATGCGTGCACTTGAAAAATATGTGTGGGTAGGGTGGGATGGGGTAGCTGGGGGTGTTGCATAATCAAATACATTTGGGAACACTGCTTGCTACATTTGCCTTTTAGAGATTCTCAGCACATGAAAGTATATTAGAAGTTCTGAGAAATTCTATGGTAAATAAACCTGTTTATATTATGCAGTGCAGAGTTTCTCAACTTTATTTAAACATGGCACAGTTCCCCCCACTGGATCATGGGGTCATGTGTATGAATCCCACAGACTTGGGGAAATAGTGATTCTGTGTGTGATGTTTCCATTGTCCTTAACATTTTGTCATTACCACACTCCACCGCAAATGTTAGAGCAGATATACTAGTACAGTGGTTGGCAAACTCATTAGTCAACAAAGCCAAATATCAACAGTACAATGACTGAAATTTCTTTTGAGAGCCAAATTTTTAAATTTAAATTTCTTCTAACATCACTTCTTCAAAATAGACTTGCCCAGGCCATGGTATTTTGTGGAAGAGCCACACTCAAAGGGCCAAAGAGCTGCATGTGGCTCTCGAGCCGCAGTTTGTCGACCACGGCATTAATATATCTGCAATTAGTTCCTTAGTTAGTCTATTCTGTGGACTATGATACATGTTTTAGGAGAGCCACCACTTGACAGCTGAGTCAAAAGCACGGGATTGTGGACAGTGGAATGAAAAGGGCTGGTGCTCTGCAAACAGAAAGTGTGTGTTTTAGGGGTGGGACGTCAGGGACTCCAATCAAGTTCTCTATGGCTTGCCTTAGCTGGTTTGGCTCAGTGAATAGAGCATAAGTTTGCAAACTGAAGGGTCCTGGGTTTGATTCTGGTGAAGGGCACATGCTTGGGTTGTGGGTTTAATCCCCAGTAGAGGGCATGAAAGAGGCAGCCAATCAATGATTCTCTCTCATTGTTGATGCTTCTATCTCTCTCTCCCTCTCCTTTCCTCTCTGAAATCAATAAAAATATATCTTTAAAAAAAAGGTCCTCCATGGCTTTAGTCAAGTCACTGGGCTTTTCTTATTAAATGTATCTTTATTGCTGAAAGTATTACAAATGTCCTCTTTTTATCCCATTAACCCCCTTCGCCCCATCCCCCCAGGCCTACCATACTATTGTCTGTGTCCATGAGTAATGCGTAGATGCATATACATCTTTGGTTAATCTCTTCCTGCACCCAGCTCCACCCTTCCCTCTGAGATTCATCCATCTGTTCCATGTTTCCACGCCTCTGGTTCTATTTGGTGCCTCCATTTAGTTTGTTCATTAGATTCCACATGTAAGTGAGATCATGTGATACTCGTCGTTCTCTGACTGGCTTATTTCTCCAGGTCCCTCCATGCTGTCTCAAAGGGTAAGAGATCCTTCTTTTATACAACTGCACAGTATGGCCCCTGGGCTTTTCTAACCATCATTTCTTCGTCTCTGCTTTAGAGCCAGAGTGATGCGATGGGCGTGACATAGAAGATTCCCGGGGAACCTGCCCTGGCCACACAGCTGAGTCAGGCACCTGCTGGTGAAGGGCGGCAGCTGGATGCCATGATCTGAGGTCGGCCCCGCATTCCCAGTGGACCTATAGCCAGCCCAGTGTTCCCTAGCCACCCAACCAGCCACATGCAGAAACGTGGTTTCCCTAATGAGACCGTCCCACTGGTGTTTGGCTTTAAATGGCCCATTCCCCCTCCCCCAGGCCTCATCCTCCGGAGCCTAAGACTCTCTGCTGGATCTGATTTCCTGCTTAAAAGTAAGGCTTCCAATTCATGTTTAGTCCATGTTCTCTTTGTCATCCCTGTTCAACTACTGTTGTTCCATCCCTTAGTGTGTTGCTGGTGAGATGAGGTTTTTTTGTTGGTGTTGTTTTCCTAGGGTAACTATTCTTGGATCTTTCATCCTCTTCCCCAAAACTCCAGCCCTCATTTTGCCAATGATGAAGTAGGCAGCTCCTGGGTTAACAAAACCCTCACCTGCCTGTCTTTGGGGCTCTCTTTCATGTTCCAGGGCTAAACTCTGGTGGATTATTTGTGGCTGTAAAGCTTACATAGAACTGCCGACGCTGTTCACTCAGCCCTATCACCTCTTCCACCGTGACTGCGGGGAAGGAGATGTGCTTCCAATAAAACCTGCACCAGGCGTCATGGTTCCACGTGTCTCCATCTTCCCTCCCTGGAGAAGGGCAGCTTCAAAGATGGTAAGGAAGATCCCAGCTCGCCTCTCTCCCGTGTGCCTGCCCAGCACTACTTGCTCATTTGTGTTTGAAATTCTACGTTACAGTAAAGGATGTGGTTTGGAAGCTAAACTGCTGTGGGTTCCCAGGCTGGCGTTGTCCTGTGTTGGCTTTGTGACCCGAGGAAAAAATGATCCAGCGTCTGAATTACAGGTTCCTCCTCCATAAAATGAGAAGAAGGATCTCTGTGTCACAGCATCATTGAAAGGAAGGGAGAGAATCAATGTTATGTCAAATTTTTTAAAAGGGTCAAGTAAACATCAGGCAAAAAACACTGCTCCATACATTTGTTCTTCCTCCAAACAATAAACCTCCTGTGGGCCATCGGAAAACATTAGGGACAGCTTCCGAGAAACTCAAACGGCCTCCAAGAAGCTCCTGGGATCATTGCTGTAAAAGGGTGTTTTAGAAAATAATTGTGCATAGAATTATAAGTTGGAATCGGGTTCTAAAGAATTAGAGAATTTGCTTGATGTGCATAGTTCAAATAATGATTTTACTGATATTGAGGACACCCTCCTGTGTGCCTGGGTCAGTATGAAATGAACAGAGATTCATAAAGCGTGGCCTCTGTGTTTCCAATTTCTCATATGCTAGCGGCTGAATGTTTGTGTCCTCCCCCAAATCCATATGCTAACTCCTAAGGCC